GATACCACGTTATAGCAAGAGCACATGGCAGAGTAAAACTGCTCATCTCTTGGCCAGAAAGCCAAGAAGGGTTGAGGACAGGGCCAGGGTCACACTATTACCTACTAGGGTATGCCCCAAATGATCTAAAGGTGTACCACTAGGCCCCCATCTTAAAGATTCCTGCCAAGCCTTTAACACGTGACTTCGGGGGAACATTCAGCATTCTGACTACAGCAGTAGTCTACTTTATTTCTGACTTTTATGGGAAAGTATTTTACATTTAAGCATTATGTGGTTTTTATTTTGGGCATGCAACTTCTTAATTTGATGCTTTTTTATTGCTTCTGGTGTTTTTTTTTTTAATAATTGATAGTTTATTTCTTTGTTCTACTATTAAGAGCCAATCTGAAGTGAAATATTTCCAAGCTCTAAGTCATTAAAATATAGTTTCTTCAAAGATTGTGTTATTGGATATTCAATACATGTAAGTTAGAAAAGTGAAAAGAAATGGTTTTTTAGCATAGGCTTAAAAGCTAGTCTAAGAGGTTTATAGTTATGATAAATGGATATGGATAGAGTGGATGAAACCCAACTATCATACATTTGTTTCTTTTAACTACTTTGTAGCAGTGATCATTAAATGTATTTGTATATTATAACCTCCTAGAAGATGTGTTGAATAAGACCGCCTTCAGAATCTTGAGCCAGTAGGCCTGTGTGGGGCCTGAAGATCTACTATTCTAACAGCTTCCAGGCAGTGTCCATATTGCTGCCATGGAGCCTCACTTGGAGAAAAGCTCCTTTATAGTATGTTTACCCTGGTAATTATCACACCAGTTAATAGAAGTTTCTTAAATGAAGCCCAATGTAGTGTGCACTTGTAGTTTAAGATTAGGGAAACTCAGTTCTGTATCATTACTTACCAGCTTAATCTGATCCTTAGTTTCCTCATCTATAAATTGTCCTAGGAGAATGAAAGTACATAATGTATGGGAAAATGTTCAAAGTTGTATGTTGCCACACACATGTAAAGTGGCCCTTTTTCAGCTTGTTTTAAAATATTGTGCTTTATAATATAGTTACTTTCAGTACTTTGATGAATTACTATTCTCTCTTTATTGCCCCTTGTCCTTTTCATCTTGCTTGTTTTTTAATATTAGTGTCTTTCAGTTCAAGTAGCCTTGAATGCCTTGGAAAGAAAATATGTTAAGATGAATATATGCAGTGGGACTGAAAAAAATACAAGAATTTTGCAAGAACATAAGGATAATCATCTAACCTGTCTTAACACAGAGTACCTTGGTTCATGAACCATTCCATTTTTCTGGAAAAAATGACCACGTGACCATATTCGTGGACAAATTGTTTACAAACAAAAGTGTTTATGAACTGAGGTACCACCACAGTAGGAATAATTTTGATTGTTGTGTGACCTTTAAAAAATTTTCTCAGAGGGCCTGGGATTTAGCTCAGTGGTTCAGCCGCCTGACTCACAAGCGCAAGGACCCAAGTTCAATTCCCAGTACCAAAATAAAAAATTTTTTTTGTCAAAATATTAAGGTTTATACTGTGGATTATAGATGCTAAGGAAATTACGAAAAGTAGTAATATTTAGTATACTGTAATTTAAAACATGAAAACATTGAATTTTTCTCATAAGAAATTATCAAAAGTAGTTTGGGGAAGGGGGAGGAGAGAGAGTGAAACACAAACACCAAAGAGAATGAGTGGAGATACTTGTGGTACTATATGAATTAACAGAGAAACATTACATTCTGTATAACTTGTGTTGGATGTATTTTATTAGAATATTCAAACATGAGCATTTTTTTTAAAAACATGGAATGCTACAGTAAAGGATTTGTAAGGTCTGTACTGTAGAACTATCTATTGGGTTTATAAGGCTATCATAGAATCCTTTGAATTTCTGTTTAGAACACTGGTCAGCATACTTTTTCTGCAGAGAAAAGTTGAAAGGATATTATTTAGATACTTAAATAACACGTACACAATTTTTATTAATAAAATTTAATATGATTTTTTATAATCTTGGTCATATAAAAAATGGAATTCTTTCAGGGAGATAACATTTCACTAGGGTTCAGAGTTAGTGTTTTTCTATAATCATGTCAGTTGTAAATGTTCAGCTGTAAAACCCATTGTTAAACTCACGGCCCATTAAACAAATAAGCAATGTGCTATTGTCCAGTCATGTTTGAGAATATAGTGGATCTTTGCAATCATCCAGTAACAAGGGTTGTTTCTTGTGGTCACATAGTTATTTAATAACAGATAGTATCAAAACACAGTACTTTTTAAAATGTCTCACTTCCTCTCATTTTCATAATTAAAATTTACTTAACCAGAATACCCTGTTCGCTAATCATTTTATAAAAGGGAAGTCACCTTATTAAAAAACTGCCACCTCCACATCTTCCTGCCTCAGCTTTATTTTTTCTATTGTACTTGTTTTTTAGTTGATGACTCATCTTTTGAAATAATAATAATTTTAAATGAAAAATATTGTTTTAAAGTTATTTTACAAAGATTTAGGACAGTTGATGTGGCATTATTATTCATACATATTTGTAAAGTAATTAAATTATTTTTTATTGTACTGGTGAGCTGTGTGATTTTATTAGCTGATATTGCAGATCTTAAATATTAGGCATTATGAACCTTTATCAGGTAGTATCTTAAATAGCTGAAGATAATATTTTTTTACAACTACTCTTCTAATCCTGCCATCGTAAAATGGAAAGGACTTTGGTTCATGGAGAACTAGACTGAAATACTGAATATCAAATATCTGGCACTTAGTGCAGATAGTAAATAATGTGTGTTATGTGTGAATATGTCTGTGTGTGTTGTTTTTTGGTGTTGCTGAGATTGTACATAGGGCCCTGTCCATGCTAGGCAAGTGCTCTACCACTGAGCATTGGGTTTGCTGACCCTCACCCAACTTTATATATTTTATGCATAAATTGTATAACAGGGTAATCTGGCAAAGTCACTTTATAGAAGGCTTAATAAGCTGTCTGGTACATAGAAGGTACTTAGCAAATGATATTTTTAATTATTAAATGTATAGGCCAGCAGTTGTTTATAAGCCCCACATTTTGCTCTCCACGTATGGCATGCATGCTGCAGCAGGCAGTCAGTGCTTAGTAGAGAAACAGATTTAATTCCAGATATACAAATATATAAGAATTTACAAGATTGGCTTACAGTGGCCGCCCATATAATCGGGTGTAGAAGAGTGCAAAAGGTCCATCTGCACACTGGGGATCTGAAGGATACAGTGGAAGGCTTGGAGCTCACAGTAGTGTCCCATTCAAGTCCATATCGGGAGGCTGAAGGGTCTGTGGTAGAAGGGTGAACAGTATGCACTGGAAGCCAGGAGACAACATCCAAGTTGAAAGCAAAGACTGGAGCTTCTCTGAAGAAAGAGAAGCAAGCCTTCCTTCTGTTTCCCTTTTATAGGATTCTGGCAACAATCTCCCATAGGGTGGGTCTTCCACACCCAGAACTATTCTGAACCAATTAGTTTGGCATTTCTTTCTTTTTTTTTTTTTTGGTACTGGGGATCAAACTTGGGACCTTGAGCTTGCGAGACAGGCGGCGGAACCACTGAGCTAAATCCCTGGCCCAGTTTGGCATTTCTTACTCAACACAGTCAACCATCATAAAAAGTTCTAAAAGGTTCGCCATCACTGTCCTATGTAATGGAATGACTAATAAAATAGAATCTGCAGTTTGATTACCTAGTATTGAAACCTTGTGACACTTGATTAGTCACACACCTGAGCCATACAGTCCTTAGACAAGCTATCCAACCTCTCTTCTTCAGTTTCCTAATCTTTAAATTGAAGATATGATAGTTCATGCCTCATGGGGTTGTTATAAGGGTTCAGTATCTTAGTACCTGTGAAGTGTAATGATCCATGCAAAGTTAGTACATGTCTTGTGTAATAGTGCTTAACTCACTATATTTGAAGTCTTCCTAATTTCAAGTAAGTTTAGTCAATTAAGCAGAGTCCCCAATATATCAATTAAGTCTAAGGATCTTCTATTATAGATAGGACTTAACCTAATTTAGCTCATTCCTTAAAGCATTAAAACATAAACAATGAAAGGACAAGTTCTCCAGTATATTTGGCTTGTGTATTTTTATAGTGTCCTGTACATTGGACCCTTCAGTTACAACCAGCCTGACATGAACAACTTGGGTTATGACTGGAATTTTAGTTTTAACTTATGACCAAAGTCTTGAGTTGTGACCCTAATGCTGGCTGCTTGTGCTTCCGGATGGTCTCAGATACAGATTTAACCCTTAAAGAGTTCTGGAAGGAACATTGCAACATCCTTTTCCTGTGTGGGATTAATTGAGAAATCTTGGCCCAATGTCTCTCTAAGGACACTGAGATCTGCCTGTATACAGGAGAGACTTTGAAGGCTGTGTAGAGGAGCCTGAGCCTTCATTGACCAACTTGAGTTACAACCAGCCCTCGAGAATGAATTGAGTTCATAAGTCAAGGGTTCACTGTATAGTCATAAATAGAAAAATTAGTTAAATATCAACACGTAAAAAACATACTCAAGAAATTGTAGTTCTAGCCTGATAATCTTCATCAGATGCACAAGAGTGGTGCATTGAGGTCTTTTTTTCCCCCTGACCCAACATGTGTCTTAATTTTGTGACTTTAGTATAACATATACTGTATGGTGTTTTGCTCTTAATACTTCTGGATAATTACTTGACAAAAAAGGAAATGCTGTGAGCAAAGGAATGTTTTGTGAACTTGAAATCTGTGGTTAATCTACATTCTATGTATAATTTTATGTTATTTTTATAATATGTTTAGGTGAAACAGTTTAAGCACTGAATTTTCTTTTGAATTTACATTCTTCCCTACTTTTTGTAGTTTTAGGTGAGTTTATAAAGCCTATAAGCAAATTACTTTGGTCTTTCTGTTGTCATGTTTTCTCATGTATGTTTCTGTTTTTTCATTCACCAGAGGAAATAAAAGCTGAAACTGAAAAACAGAGGTTTGTGGGCTTTTTTAATAAAAATAATTTGTAGACTTGTCAATCTTAGTAAAAATAATAATATAATCATTTATATTTTTAGTGTGACAGATTTTCTGCATGTGATTTTTATAGTAAAATCAATGTTTTAAGAAATTACAAAGAAATGTAAACACTTATCAATACAAAATGATCAAAAATAAATAAGTTTAGAAAAGTGTTTCTGAAATATTATGAGATATGCTTTAGAAGTATTTTCTTAAAAGTTTTGATTCATATTTAGAAAAAATACTAGGCTTTTTGGTAATGTTAGCCTCTTCAGAACAGAATTGAATTACTCAAAAGTGCTTAACTTAAGGACAGGCAGAAAGCCCATTGCCTTTTAATGTATGGTACCAAATTTAGGTGGCAATGACATAGTTATATAATAGATCTTGAGATCTTTGGAAAAAACATTAGACAAAAATTCTACATCTTGCAAGTGTTTAATTACAGCTCTGGACATTATCTTTTGGCCTTGTGGCAAATATCTTGATTTCTATAGACTTTGTTTTTCTCAGAAGGTGGGAAGATAGAGGACTGATTTAGCAAGGTTCTTTTTAGAACAGAAATTCCATGTTTCTAAGAATTTATCACTGCTATGATAAATGTGATGTATTTTAATCAGACTTCTTTTTCATTTAGTCCTCCTCATGGAGAAGCAAAAGCTGGATCAAGCACTTTGCCACCAGTGAAATCAAAGACAAATTTTATTGAAGCAGACAAGTACTTCTTACCCTTTGAGTTGGCATGCCAGTCCAAATGTCCCCGAATAGTTAGTACATCTCTAGATTGTTTACAGGTGTGTATAAAATGTACCTTAAAGGCTGTTTTTAATGTGTTTTTAGAACACTGCTCATAATAGATGACTCAGACATTTTCATAAAAGCTTTGATTATTCCTTTTTGAGAAAAGAAACCAAATAGTTGCTTATATTCCGGGCAATAATAGTGCAAAAAGATGTTTCTAGTTTAAAGATAACAAAAATCAGCAGCTTAGTGAGAACCAAAGTCTTTACTAAGGTTATCAATAGTGAAAGTATTGATTTGGTCTCATCAGTGGAGTGCACGAACCATAATACTTTCATCTACTGCTGACTTTACATACATCATAATTTAGAAGTAATTTTACTAAATGCCTGCTGTTTTATATAGAACAGGAGTTAATATTGTTAGCTTAATATTTCACAGCTGGACCTCAGCTATGACATTCATTTAAAAGTTCGTGAATACTTTCATCCTGTTTTACATATACATTCATATTCGTTTATTGTCTCTCTCTTACTCATTCCTGAATGCTTTCATCCTGTTTTACACACACACTCATTCATATTCTCTCTCTCTCATTCCTGAATGCTTTCATCGTGTTTTACACACACATTCATATTCTCCCTCTCCCTCTGTCTCTGTCTCTCTCTCTGTCTCGCAGATATTTTGTGAGACAGACCTCCAGATAGGAGGGTACTTCTTCTTTCAGATGTTCTCACTGTTTGTGAATTATATGAATTTAACAGTTAATTGGCTAGGAAGAGGTCACATGATTTGTCCTTAAACTATATTAAAGATAAGTTCATTTGTTTTCTGACCTTGTTTTTGGTTTTGTTTTTTTTTAAGAATTAGAATTATAATATCTAATGTCTTTCTTCTAGGATAAAATGGTAATGATGAATAAATAGATCTGTGATTTATTATAGCCAGTGTATGGAATCTGGGTTTTCACCAAATTGATCTAATTTGGAAGTAGATTTGGTATATTTGAAAGTGTTAAGATATTTTCCACAAAAGCAGTATTGAAAAAGTGTTGTTTATAGAAAGCAGTATATATAGTTCTAACTCAGAGACCCAACTCTCAATACCTGGGTGTCTTAAAGTATTGCCTAACAGTTCTGTTATGGTCATTGTTCTTTTTTTGTGATTCTTACAAATCTGAGTAACTTTATGTATTTAGAGCTAGTGAACTGTACAGAAAAAATGGTTATAGCATTTGGCTTTGATTGTACTTTAATGTTTCTACAGAGAAAGTTGGTATAGCATTTAGCTTTGATGTTTTTATGTAAAAATTTCTATATATATTCAGTCATTTTAATTACCATTCGGTTAGTGTGTGTGTGTGTGTATATATATATATAAAACCTAGATTAATTAAAATCTTTATTTACTTTCTCCATTTCAGAAGCTTATTGCTTATGGGCACTTGACTGGCAATGCGCCTGATAGTACGACACCAGGCAAAAAATTGATTGATAGAATTATTGAAACAATATGTGGCTGCTTCCAAGGTCCTCAAACAGATGAAGGAGTTCAGTTGCAGATAATAAAGGTAAATGCTTTATTAAGTGAATTTGTTATTCAAAATCTATACTTTTTTAAATCTGAAGCCTTTTACCTTGAAAATAGTAGGAAAGGTCATTTTATATTCTGACTATAATAAGGCCATTTGGGTGCTTTTAAAATTTTTATTTATTTTATTTTTTGAGACAGGGTCTCGCTTTGTAGTTCAAGCTGGCCCTGAACTCACTTATGTAGCCCAGGCTGGCCTTGAACTCACAGGGACCCTCCTGCTCAGCCTCCCAAGTGGTGGGATTACAGGCATGTGCCACCACGCCTGTAATTAGACTCCCTATCAGGAGATTTTAATCATTGAATATCAAGAATCCCTTAAAACAAGGCTATATTCTTGTGTCTCTTCTTTTGAACATCTCAGTTCAGGCTTGAGACCTTAGGGTATTCTAGAGTTTTTCTGGTTTTGGCATGTTTTTCATGTATATTTTGTTCTTCAAGCTTTAGGGTAATTCTTAAGGCATATTGGACCCTATATAGCTGCCCTCTCAACTCATGGATCACCAGTTTTAATGATTCCCTTATACCTATCCATCCACTCAACCTGCTCAACAAAACCTTGTTCCAGTTTTGTGCTATAATTAACCTGGATAGTTAAATTTCTTTAGAGAAAAACTAAGATCTGTTAAATTTTAGTTCTTTTTTTTTTTTTTTTTTGGTGCAGGGGATTGAACTCGGGTCCTTGCACTTGTGCAGCAGGTGGCGAAACCACTGAGCTAAATCCCCGGCCCAAATTTTAGTTCTTAATGTTACTGTTATGGTAATGATAGTATGTTTATATATCAGTAAACTTTTTTATGTACCATAATACTTTTGAAATTGCTTATATATCTAAAATGTTTCCTTGTATAAATATAATCTATTCTGAGCCTATTTCATAGTTGTATTTACTTCACAAGTCATATAATATCTTTATTATTGGAAGCTATCCAATCTTTTTGGCCTATCATTTGCAGTTACAGGGCCTTTAGCCTTTAATCAGGATATATATTCATTAATGCTGACTGCATTGTACAGCATAAAGAGAACAAAAGATAGGAGTGTTTGCACTTCAGAAATTCCAAGATACCAAATACGTGAAAATTCACATAAAGTTATTCACTTTATTGGAGGATTCACCTTAGGATTATTTTAAATGCTTTATTCTAAAGATTTATAAACACCCTTGACAATAACAGCACACATTTATTAAGTCTAGTGAGTAAAAAAGAGCTCAGGAAAATTTGGAGACAAACAAGACAATATTTATTCTCTAGAGTTGACAATCTAGTTGAACAGGTATATGAGACACATCTATGCACTATAATGAGAAGGTGTAGGTGCTGTGTATTCTAATAAACTAAATATGCATATTAATGAAATCTGAGTTGAAACATATTAGTTAAATGGTTTTCTAGTGTTCTAGGGTTGGAGGATCATGTTGAAACTACTGCTAGAATGAATAAAATATCAAATATGTTAACAGTGACATATTCAAGGCAGTTAAGAATTCTGTATACATTACCGGAAAGTGGTATTTGTTTCTTAAGTATATTAATTCTCATACAAAAATATTCATATATTTTGTGCTGAAACTCTGAATGCAGAAAGCAGCTTTAACTTTGCCCCTCATCCCTTTTTAAGGCTTTACTTACTGCAGTAACTTCACAACACATAGAAATTCATGAAGGAACTGTACTGCAAGCTGTGAGAACATGTTATAATATCTATCTAGCAAGCAAAAATCTCATCAACCAGACAACAGCCAAAGCTACTCTTACTCAGATGCTAAATGTTATCTTTGCACGCATGGAAAACCAAGCAGTAAGTATTTACAAGTAACACAGGCATCAAATAAAGAGTTTATAATAATTATAGTAACAATTTTGCTCCTGTAGAAAAGTATGTTTTCATTTACAGTTCTTACTGGAGAATTGGTCTATTTTATTTTGAGGTTTACTTGTTTGACTTTGGACAAAATGTGTTTCTAGTTCACAAGTAGGATGTGAAAAGTTGATTCCCATCCTTCTCATGGAAGTGTATATGAATTGATATTTTTACTGAACTCAAATTTAGCGTGGAGTGTGATATGGATATGAAACTACCTAATTTGATCTATTCTGGTATAAAATTTTTTATTGAGCCTTAAAAATACATTTCTGTACTGATGAAATGTGTTTTTTCATCCATACAATAAGAATTGTGATATCTCTTATACTTAAAGCTGCTTCAGATTGGCTGGTAAAAGATGGGATTTTTGTTTTGTTTTGTATGTTTATTGTATTTTATTACTTAGGTCTTCATAGTTAAAAACCAAGTTTCACCATTTTTGTGAACTGATTTAAACTTAGAGAATAGTTGTAAAAGTAATACAGAGAGCCTTATATCCTTCACTCTGCTTCCCTTATGCCAACATCTTACCTAACCATAGTAGCAAAAGCAGAATTAACAGTTAATAAACAATTAACTAATAAACTAGCGACTTTCCTGAATTTCACCAACTTTGCCTGTAATGTTCCATTTCTGTTTTAAGATCTGACCTAGGATTCCACATTGCATTTAGTGTGCATTTAGTTGTTATGTCTTAGTCTTCTACAGTGTGATAATTCCACAGCCTTTCCTTATTTTTCATGATCTTGCTGTCTTTGAAGGGTATTTATTAATCATTTATTTTGTTCAGTGGCCCCTAGTGTACTTTGTTTCTTGTTTTTTGGTGATCAGAATGAAATTGTGCCTTTTTAATTTTTTTGCTAGACTACCTCTGAACTAATGTTCAGTACTTTTTGATTGATTGATTGATTGATTGGTATTGGGGATCGAACTCAGGACCTTGCGCTTGCGAGGCAGGTGCCGGGACCCCTGAGCTAAATCTCCGGCCCCCTTTTTGATTCATCATGTCAAGAATTCATGATGTTGATAGGTCTTTTTGGTGGTAATGTTAACCTTGATCGCTTGTTTAAGGTTCTGTCAGTGTCCTCCACTGTGAAGTTACAGTACCAGTTTTTCTTTTACACTTAATAAATATCTTGGGGGAGATACAGTAATACCTCAGTTCACAAATGCTTCTATTTGTAAACAGTTCAGTTCACAAAAGCATTCAGTAAAACTTTGCGTCCGTTCACAAACTGCACCAGGCAACAAACATGACCACAGCCATCTTCCCCACACAAAGGCAAATGCAGCCATCTTCCCCCAAATTGTAAAACAAGTTAAGTTCATAAACCAAGATACCACTGTATTTTATGACTATGCAAATACCCTGCTATACTTCTCACGTTGTCACTGCTCCACAGTTTATTATTCTTCAGTAGATATTGTTGGCAATGGTTACTTAAATCTTTCTATAATGGTGATTTTCTGTTTCTCTCTCCTATGTTCATTAGCTAGAACTCTTTTCCCTTTTAAAAAATATAAATCTGTGCTCAAGGATATTTTATTCTGTTGATTACAAGCTGAAACTATCATTATTTATTTTGTTGCTTATATTATTTTAGCTTTGGCCTTGTGTCCTTTTGACCAGCTTCTATCCTTTTTTAAATACTTTTCTGGAATCTCAAGATGTTCCTTGCTCATTTTGAATTTTCCCTACTTCAGCACTGGAAACAAACACTTGACCAAGGAGCCCTGCCTCCTTCAATTTTAGAATGGTATTGAGAAGCCAAAATCTGAGTGGTGATTGTGTTTATATTCTCTAGGGTGTTATTTTTTCTAGACCCTCCCAGCTGATAGAACTAGAAAAGCCCCATCTCAACTCCAATATGTGAGTTTCTATCAATACATATTAAAAATCATGTGTTTATTGTGGTCTTTCTAATTCTAGTATAATACCACAGGGTTCATTTCATCCATCTTCCTTAATTTATTACTAACTCCTTTCTCTAACCAGTAAGAAATCTGGTTTTAACTTTCTACATTATATTATTTATTCAATCCTATTATACAATATTTTAGAATTGCTCACCCATACCACTATGAGAAGCAAATTTACTAAGTAGGTTACAGTGCTTCTACTCAAGTCTTTTTATGTTTAGCTTTATATTATCCATTCAGCAGTTGTTTAGGTTAGTTCCTTCCCCATACTCTTCAAAGCGGTAATGCTATTTCTCTGAAATACATATAGGTTCATTTGTTACTATTTCTTATTTTCAGTATCCCTCACATCCTGGTTGGTTTCAATTGTTTATTTTTTGGGTGTGCAAAATATTACTATGATTTAAGTCAGAACTATACAAGTATATTAGAGAAGTGCCATTCCCTCATAATTCCTACTACTTCATTTCTCTTTCTGCTTTCCAATCCTTGGATATAGCAAATTTCTTTAATTTATAGTTTATGTATCCTGCATTTCTAAAGTAAACATGAGCAGGTACATGTAGCTTTGTCACCTACTTACATAAAAGGTAGCACATTGTATTTTAGTTATCTATCATTGCATAACAAATCATTGCAGATTTTAACTTCTGTATTTTAAAATTTTTTTGGTACCGGGGATCGAACTCAGGAACTAGCACTGTTGAGGCAGGCAATGGAAATTTTAGCTTCTTAAAACAAGTATTTATCTTGTATCACAGTTTCTGAGGGCCCAGAATCCACACTTAGCTTAGCTGGGTGGCTCTGACTTAATTTTCATTTGATGTTGCAGTAGGTTGCATGGGTCAGGATGTCAGCTAGAGCTATAGTTACTTAAAGACTTTATTAGGGAATATGTTTCAAGCTTACTCATGTGGCTGTTTGCAAAAGACCTCATTTTTTCTTTTTTGGGCAGAGGTCTGGGTTCCTTAATTTCTGGGTCAAGAGGGCTGCTGCTGATATGCTGATATGGCACCTGACATCCACCAGAGTGAATCATCTGAGAGAGAATGACAAGATAGAAGCTGTAATGTCTATTTTACAGCCAGAAGTGGTCCCACAGACCATGCATGGTTCAGTATGGGAAGAAAAGGCACAAAAAGGAGTGAAGATCAAGTATATCAAGAAGATACATTGTTGGTGGCCATCTTCCTGTAGATACTTTTTTGTACTTTTCACCTAGCAGTGTCCTGGAAAGCACATTCTATATCAATCTTTAGAGATCTCCCCGCTTTTTTATAGGTGTATGGTTTTCCAAGACAATTCATTCTCCTATGTAGCATTAGGTTGTTTTTGATATTTTACAACCATTGTGATTTTGCTGCTTTTTTGAGGATGTGACTGAAAATAATTTTCTTACTTTTTAAAATGACAGAAATAACTTTTATTGATTTGTTCAACAAGTTTTAACTGAATTTCTTGTGTGTTCCTGGCTTCAGTTATATAGTGAAGGACAAAACTGACATGACCACTATTTTCAAAGGCCTGAAAAACTGGAACAAAGAGAGAGATGAACCTTAGATAATCCCACAAATTTATAACTGAATTATGATAAAGCATGTTTAATATCTTAAAGGATATTTAGTTCTGTGCTGTGGATAATCAGAAAAGTGGCAAGAGGGATAAATAGAAAATAGAGGAAATGGGGAACGAATGATTTAACTACCACATTTGCTAAAATCTTATAAGCTAGAAATCTATATGTACCACTCATGGCTTACTCTTCCCCCAAATAAAACTCTTGAGAAAACAAACATTCCTAGACTTCATTATAAAAAGCTCAGTCCACTGCCAGGTATAGTGGCACACTCCTCTAATCCTAGCACTCGGGATGCTGAGGCAGGAAGATTGCTGTGAGTTCAAGGCCAGCCTGGGGTACAATAGTGAGTTCAGAGCCAGGCTGAACTACATAGCAAGACCCTGGCTTAACAAAACAAAGCTCAGTTCTAAGATTATTTCAGTGGAAAAATTACTAGTTTCTCCTTAGGAGAATAGTTCTTAGCTTCATGCAGTTACACTTCAGAAGGCACATTTGACACTGTCATGACTGGGGCAGGGAACTGCTGTTGGCATATTGTAGATAAGAGACAGAGATGCTTCTGAACACCTTGTGGTATGCAGAACGGGCCACAGGCAGCAAGGAAATATCCAATCCAAAATATCAGTAGTGCTAATGCATTCTTTTTCAAGGGTGTTGCTAGAGTTTCTACAATTTTGGAATCTGGGAAAAACTAGAATTTAACACCATGTTGATTTTGACCCGAAAACATTTGCCTGTCCCACTAAGTCATGGTACAAATTGTTCAAGTTAGGCTGAAGATAGAATTTGATTACAGATCATAGTAGATTTTTTTCTTTTCTTTGTTTTTTAATCCCCTGCACTACTAGTGATTAAAACCAAGGCCTCTGTACTGAGCTACATCGTTAGCCCTTTTTTATTTTTTTATTAATTTTATTGGTACAATTAATGTATATAATATAATGACATTCATCATTGGAAATTTGTACCTTTACATAATCTATCTTGGTTCTTATTTTTTCCCCATTCCCCTACCCTCCCTTCAACCCCTCCACCCCTCGCTATTTACAGACTTAATGTGTATTTTTTCATTTTCTCATATTAATTCTATTCCATTCTTTCCTTTCCCCTACCCTGACCACTTCCCCTTCCCCTTTGGACCTTTTCTTCCTATTTCACATTATCTATTACACATTTTGATCCTATTTACACTTTTGGTTTCTCACGCCAGAGAAACTATTCGGTATTGACACATGGTATTTATTTCATTTTCACCCATTTAGCTATAAATGTCTCTAGTTTCTCATTCTTTATGGCTGAGTAGTACTCCATTTTATTAAAACCACATCTTCTTTATCTAGTCTCCATTTGATGGGCAATTGGGCTGTTTCCAAGTTTTAGCTATTATAAACTGTGCTGCTGTAAACATGGGTGCACATATATCATTGTGGTATGATTCTTTTAATTCTTTTGGGAAGATACCCAGTAGGGAAATAGCTGGGTCAAATCACCCCTGTAATCCTAGTTCTTTTGAGGTATCTCCATATTGATTTACACAGTGGTTGCACCAGTTTACACCCCCACCAACAGTGGAGCAGGGTTCCTTTTTTCCCACATCCCCACCAATATTTCTTATTGGTTGATTTCATGATAGCAGCCATTCTTTCTGGGGTGAGGTGGAATTTCACCGTTGTTTTCATTGCATCTCTTGAATGACCAGTAATGTTAAACATTTTTTCACATGTTTATTTGCTATTTCTACTTCTTTGTCTGAGGAATATCTGTTCATTTCAGATGCCCATTTTTGGATTGGGTCTTTAAATTTGGAAGGTCGGATTTTTTTAAGTTCTTTATAGATTCTAGATAGTAGACCATTGTCTAAGGAACAGCTGGTGCAAATACTTTCCCACATTGTGGGTTGTCTGTTTATGCTGTTGGTGGTTTCTCTTGCTGTGCAGAAGCTTTTTAATAAGAAGAGATCCCACTTGTTGATTCTTTCTGCTAGTTCATATGCAACTGAGGTTTTGTTCATGAAATCTTTTCCTACACTGATGTCTTCAAGAGTTCTGCCTAACCTCTCTTCCAGCTGGTTTAGTGTTTCTGTTTTAATAGTTAGATCTTTAATCCATTTTGATTTTAGTTTAGTGCATGGTGAGAGATATAGGTGTAGTTTTACTCTTTGGCAAGTTGAAACCTAATTTTTCCAGCACCATTTATTAAAGAGGCTGTCTTTCCTCCAGTGAGGGTGTTTCGCTCCTTTGTCAAAGATGAGGTGGCTAAGTGTGTCTGGAGTTGTTTCTGCATCTTCTAATCTGTTCCACTGGTCCTCAGGTTTGTTTCTTTGCAAGTACCATGCTGTTTTTATCACAGTAGCTTTGTAGTACAGTTTCAAGTTGGGAATTGTGATTCCCCCTACCTTGTCTTTGTTGCCTAGAATTGCTTTTTCTATTCTGGTTCCAAATGAATTTTTGGTTTGTTTTCTCAAGGTCTGTGAAGCATGCTTTTGGGATTTCAATCAGGATTGCATTGAATCTATATAGCAGTTTTGGAAGTATGGCCATTTTCACTATATTGGTTCTTCCTACCCAGGAACAAAGGATGTCTTTCCATTTTCTGATACCCTCTTTAATATCTTTTTTCAAAGTGCTATAGTTTTCAGAGTAGAGGTTTTTTATTTCTTTCATTAGGTTGATTCCTAGGTATTTCAGTTTTTTGGATACTATTGTGAAGGGAGTTGTTTCTCCTGTCTCTTTTTCAGTGAGTCTGTTGTTCGTGTACAGGAAAGCTACAGATTTTTGTGTGTTGACCCTATAGCCAGCTACTTTACTAAATTTTAAGTCTAGAAATCTATTGGTGGAGTTCTTGGGGTCTTCTGTGTAGAGTATCATGTCATCTGCAAATAATGACAATTTAACTTCTTTGTTTCCTATCTTTAAACCTTTTATTTCTTTCTCTTGTCTAATTGCTGTGGCTAATGTTTCCAAAACTATATTGAACCGGAGAGGTGATAGTGGACATCCTTGTCTTGTTCCTGATTTTAGTGTGAAGGATTTCAGTTTTTGAGCATTTAGTATGATATTGGCTGTTGGTTTTTCATAGATGGCTTCTATCAGTTTGAGGTAGAGACCATCTATTCCAATTTTTTGTAGGGTTTTTATCATAAGTGCATGTTGGATTTTGTCAAATGCTTTTTCTGCATCTATGGATATAATCATATGGTTTTTGTCCTTGGCTCTATTAATATAGTGTATTACATTTATTAATTTGTGTATGTTGAATCATCCCGGCATCCCTGGGATGAATCCCACTTGGTCAGGATGTATGATCTTCTTGATGATCTAGATTCTGTTTGCCAGTATCTTATTGAGGATTTTTGCATCTATGTTCATTAGTGAGATTGGCCTATAGTTATCTTTTTCAGTTGGGCCTTTTTCTGTTTTGGGGATCAAGGTGATGCTTGCTTCTAGGAATGAATTTGGGAATATTACTTTCCTTTCAGTTTCATTGAAGAGTTTAAACAGTAGCAATAGTTCTTGTCTAAATGTCTTGTAGAATTCAGCCGTGAAGCCATCAGGATCTGGGCTTTTCTTAGTTGTTAAGTTTTTAATTACATTTTCAATTTCGTTGATTGATATTGGGTTGTTTAGAATTTTTAGGTCTTTGTTCAACTTTGGTAATTCATATATATTTAGGAATCTGTCCATTTCTTCTAGATTTTCCATCTTATTGATGTATAGGTTCTCAAAGTAGGTATTGATGATCCTCTGAATTTCTGCTGGGTCCATTGTAATTTCACCCTTTTCATTCCTAATTACATAGATTTGAGTCTTTTCTTTCTTTGTTTTGATATGGTTAGCTCAGGGTTTGTCAATTTTGTTTATTCTTTCAAAGAACCAACTCTTTGCTTCATTGATTTTTTTGTATCATTCTCTTAGTCTCCATTGTGTTGATTTCTTCTCTGATTTTTATAATTTCCTCACTTGTATTAGCTTTGGGATTGTCCTGCTTTTTTTCTAGAAATAGGAAGTTCAGCATCAGGTTGTTTATTTGAGCTTTGCTCTGTTTTCTTAATATGAGTATTCACTGCTATGAATTTCCCTCATAGGACTGCTTTCATTCTCTTCCATAGATTCTGAAATGTTATATCAGCATTGTCGTTTAATTGTAGAACTATATGATTTCTTCTTTAATTTGTTTTGTGATCTGTTGGTTCAGTTTCCATGTGTTTATGAAATTCTTGTGGTTTTGTTTGCTATTGATCTCTAATTTCATTGCATTATGATCTGATAACATACAGGGGATAACTTCAGTTCCTTTGCACTTAGTTAAACATGTTCTAGGAGCAAGAGTATGTGATCTATTTTGGAGAACAACCCATGTGCAGCTGAAAAGAATGTGTATTCTGATTTTGTGGGGTGGAACACTCTGTCAATATCTGTTAAATCCATGTGTTCAGGAATTTGATTGAGCTAGAGTATTTCATTGTTTAATTTTTGTCTGTTTGTGACAGTGGGGTATTGAGGTCCCCCACTACTATTGTATTAGTGCTAATTTGATTTTCCATGTCTGTTAGTATTTGTTTTGTATAGTTGCGTGCACTAGTGTTTGGTGCATATGTATCTATGATTGTCATCTCTTCCTCTTGGATTGTTCCCTTTTCAAGGATGTAAGAAGTGGCCTTCTTTGTTTCTCTTAATTAGTGTTGGTTTGAAATCCATTTGATCTGTAAATAGGATAGCAACTCCTGCTTTTTTTTCGGGTTCCTTTCACATGGAGTATTGCTTTTCACCCTTTAACTTTAAGTCTGTCAGTTTCTGTTTGAATTCAGTGTGTTTCTTGTATGCAGCATATTGTTGGATCTTGCTTTTTGATCCATTCTGCCAGTCTGTTTCTTTTGAGTGGTGAATTGAGACCATTAACCTTGATGGTTATAACTGTTAATGTATTTACATATCCTTGTCATGACTTTTTCTTTTTCTTGTATTCTCCCCCTTTGCATTTAATTTCTTGTGGTGCCTGATGAATTCATTCTGTTAGCCCTTTTCTGTTTTTTGAGACAGGGTCTTGCCAAGTTGGTAAACGGCCTGGTCTCAAAGTTGTGATTCTCTTTCTGCAGCCCCCTAGAGAGCATGTACACAAGTCATAGATTTCTTACTGTTAATTTGCGAATGTCTTTCCCATAAATTAGCTAAACTGTTTGAGAATTCTGTTATCATTATAATTGTTTGACTAGTCATGCCTCATTAGTTTCCTTTATGTAAAAAAGAAATTTGGACCATCTAGATTAGAAGGCTCTTACCTTTTTAGGCATTAAACATTTTAAATTCAGATTTATTTTATAAATTCATGTGATTATTCTTTTTAACTTAGAAGGAGAATATGAAATGCTCATATTTGATATAAAATATTTATCATTGTGAAAATTCTGCGAGTGTCATTCCTACTAGATCATGAGGGCTAAGAGATGTGTGAAGAACAATTAAAGTGCTAAAAAGAGAAACCCTGTAATCCTGATTGATGATGTTTTTTAGCATCTTGTAAGAGGTAGTTTAATACAGATAGTATCACGTACAGAATAATGGCAGGTCTTCTAAAATAAAATTCAGACATTTTAGATTCACCTTTTTCATGCTTAATAGATGGCTGGGCAGAATGATTGTAATTTTATTTATTAAATATAATCTTATTTTAATTAAAAGATCTTAAATAATGTAATATAAGAACATGCTTTGGAGGGTATGCACTGAAAAAGTTCTCTCCCACTCCATTCCCCATTAGGTCATTTCCCAGCCCCACACAACCATTATTACTAGTTTCTTATGTATCTTGCTAGACTTTATTTCTGTATGTATAAGCAGAAGTGAATGTGTGTGTGTGTGTGTGTCTGTGTGTGTGTTCCATCTATTTTTTCCTTCCTTAATGGAATTTTTGTTTGATTTTAGGTAAATACATTGTTGGCAACAATCCAGTTATTACTGTGAGGCTTTTAAAAAATAGCTTTAGTTTTGTTTATATAATGCATTTCACAACATTAAAGGTCAGATGTAATCAAAAGGCAATATAGTCAAAGTCTTCTGCCTCTCTTCTTATGTAGTTTCCAGCTACCTAACGTGTAAACATTAATTATTTTTAGTGTATTTTAGGTTGTTTCTGATGGACTATAATTTCTAAGTCTAGATGAAAGATACACCTTATCTAAAGGATTTATAGTCAGTGATAAGTCATCCAACTAGATTTTTTTTTTTGGAGACAGGGTCTCACCATGTAGTTCAGGCTGGCCTTGAACTCACTTTATAGCCCAGGCTGGCCTCAAATTTATGGTGATCATCTTGCCTCAGCCTCCTAAGTTCTTGGATTACAGGTGTGCACTACCACGTGCAGCGCTTCTGCTCCAGATTTTGAACTACTTATTTTGCTAATATTAGAGTTCATTATGTTTCTTTCCAGTTGCAGGAAGCCAAACAAATGGAGAAAGAAAGGCACCGGCAGCAGCAGCATCTGTTACAGTCTCCAGTAAGCCATCATGAGCCTGAATCACCTCAACTTAGATACTTGCCACCTCAGACTGTTGATCAAATGTCCGAAGAACAGGGAGACCTTGACCCCCATACAAATGATGTGGATAAAAGTCTTCAGGATGACACAGAGCACGAAAATGGATCTGATGTTTCCAGTGCTGAAAATGAACAGACTGAAGCTGATCAGGCAACTGCAGCTGAAAGTAATCTTCTTAAGAAGGGGGTGCAGGGTGTGTGCCTGTTAAGCAAAAAGTATAAGAATGTGAATTTTTGATAGAGAAATGCAGAAAGAATTGTGACTTTTTTCTATCCTAGGTGGTAAAGTTAATTTGACTTCACCCACAAAACTTCTATTAATGCTACTGTGCATTCAATTGCATCTCATGAGGAGTATAATTTATGAAATTCCTTTAGGGGAGATACATGTTTCTAATGCAGATCATGAATGTCTGTTAGCATATTATGTAGGAACTTCAGTTTTCTCCTTAAAACTAATTTTTATAGCGAACAAGGGATCTGCTTAGGAAAGTTTTGTGGAATATGACTGAAAATTTTAGGAAATCATTATCAATTTCGAAAATATTATCAAAAAGTGCTGAAATTAAATATAAAAACATTTTTAGTACAAAATATTCATTTTTTATTTCCTCATATATAATAATCACTTAAACTGAGATGTTCTCACAGTATTTTTCTATGCAAATTTATACATAAGAAAAAAATTACAGTAACAAAAATTAAGTTACTTTTATTCTTAGGCACTGTGCTAGTACTTGGGATTAAGATGATAGGTGCAGGCCAGGGATTTAGCTCAGTGGTTCTGCTGCCTGTCTTGCAAGTGGAAGGACCCGAGTTCGATCCCTGGTACCAAAAAAAAAGATGATAGATGCAGCCATTGCTTATAGTATTTAACCTGCCTGGAGGGTCAGCTGAGCATAAATGAGATACACTGTGTGAAAAGTTTTCTGAAAACAGCATGCACAAGATAGGACAGTGCTTGGGAGAATTAGGAAATACTTTTCATTGAGAAAATATTTTATTTGAATTGTGATGGTTAGGAGTAGTCTGGCTTAGCTAGAAATTTGGTAAATTTCCCAACAGAGGAGACACATGGGCTAAGATCCAAGGAGTGGGAACATCTACTGTGTGAGACACGACTGTTAGTGCCTTATAAAATACAAATAAGAATATATATAAAACATAGTTTCCTATAACATCATTGTGATTATTTTGATTTGTAAATCTGCTTTTTCTCCCAACAGCTGATGTAAATGAAAATTCTGCTTAAGACTCATTGGTTTAGAGTGTGTGTTCTACAGAACACTCAACTAGTGTGTGACTTTGGACATAACAGATTCCCTAAGCATTTCCTATGTGCAATAAGTAATAGTCCTTGTTGCTATAATTTATTTCTGTCAGTTAATTTATGTGAGAATTTTAATTCACTAGCCATTTTGTGCACATTTTGAGATAGTGGCTCTGTATATTTAGTTACTTAATGATTTTCAGACTCAAGAATTTACCTAACTAGATCATAGAAATAAAAAATTTAAGAATGTAGAAAATATACTTACCAGTACATCTATGTCTTTATTCCACAGATGAATCAAAACGCTTTTTTTACTTGGAAATTTTATGAAATAACCCTACAGGTTTTCTATGCTTATTTACCAGGCTTTCCCTTGTGGCATTCACTATTTTTGTAGAACTTAGAAGACAGTAGATTAAGAACATTGAAATTGTAGGGACAGTCATAGTGGCCCGTTACAGTCTTGGGAGGTAGAAGCCAGTGGAGGCAGCATCAGTATCAGCTAATGTACAGTCTGATGCCATTTGATGTAGTGCAGTGGCTCCCAGGACAGGTTTCCAGATACCCAACTTTCTAACATTCAGTGAGCCACCTAGAGATATTGTCAACATTTCAGAAAGCTCAGTGCAAATCCTATTTTTATCTGTGGTAGTCTAGACAAGCTATCTGGAATGTTAAGTTTCAGTTTCTCTTAGGCTGTTCAGAATTTCTGATTTGTAGTTAACTTTTTTTTCCTGTTTTGTTTCTCATTAAATTGGTGAATGAATTCTTTTTCACTTCTTCAATTTAGATTTATTTGGAAAAGTAGATTCTATTGAGATGTGCTAAGGAAAAGCACTGATAGAGGTCCAGATGGCCTTCTCTCTGATTACTCAAAGTACCTCACTGTAGTAAAGTACAGTGTTGATCTTAATAGTTATCAAAATGTTTTAATTACACTTAATATATTTTTGATAAGGGTTAGTATAATAGTGTGTGCATTAAGTAAGGCTGTATAAAACATGGTAGATGTTTTCACTCAAACAACTTAAAAGTTCGGTTCTTAAAGGAATAATCTAGGAAATTTAAGTTTAATAATCACTTAATAGCTTGTCAAATGAACCGTTGTTAAGATTGACTTGACTTTGAAAAATATTTGTTTCGGTTTTGTTACAGATTTTGACAGTTTGACATATAATTGTATCTAATTTTTATATGATTTTTTTTTTCATTTTTAGGAGCAAACTTTTTTCATCAAATTATTTAGTAAAGTTTCCAAAAAAATTAATTGAATTTTTCTCTTTTTAAAGCATTATCTAAAAATGATATTTTGTATGATGGAGAAAACCATGACTGTGAGGAAAAGCCACAAGACATTATACAGAGCATTGTAGAAGAAATGGTGAACATCGTTGTTGGAGGTAGTATACTTCATTCAAAATGAGTTTAGTGTGTTTCATGAAATTTTATCTGACCGTAGAGTCCATATAATGTGTAGAACCAAAAGGGCAAAATTATGAGTACTTTCCCAATTTAGTGATTTGTGTATGTATGATCTAGAAAAATATAGTAGGGTGTATCTTCCAAGACCCTCCCCAGTAGATGCTTAAAACCACTGTGTAGTTTTTATACTCCCCTCCTTCCTCTCTCTGCCTCTCCCTCCCTCTCCCTCCCTCTCCCTTTTTCTCCTTATCCCATATATATATATGAGATATATATATATATATAACGTGTATATATGTACATACGCACACATACACACAAATATAATGCCTTTTTCAGCTTAACCAAGCACTAAACCATGCACTGTGGTTATAACTTCTGCAGTTTGATGTACAATGGCAAAACTTCAAATGAGTTTTCTTCATCTTGATTTTAAGGACAGAAGATTCATTCTTACTATAGATCTTAGCAAGCTCAGTTTATGATTTCTTTTCCCTTTATTGAATCAGGAATGTTTACCTTTTTACTTAAAGGAAGCACTTCTTTAGCATGTCTGAGTTGGCAGCATCACTACTATTGTGCTTTAGGGCCATTATTAAGTAAAATAAGGGTTACTTGAACACAAATTCTATAATATTGTGACAGTGAATCTGATAATTAAGTGACTAATGGGTGGGTAGCATATGCACTCTGGATCTGTTGGTCAAAAAAATGGTTCTTGTCCTGGGTGGGATGCACTGGGATGGCAAGAGATTTCATTATGCTACTGATATAGCACACAATTCAAAACTGAAAAATTATTTCTCGCATTTTCTGTTTTAATATTGTCAGATTGTAGTGTACTGTAGGTAACTAAACTGAGAAAGTGAAGCCAAAAATAAAGGGAGAGGAACTATTCTATTTAGATATCTTTCATTATATAGGAATATTCTCTTTAAACATTTTTCATTAGTACATGTTTTTAGTACATGCATTATACAGTCATCTTAAGTGGGTACATGTAAATAATACAACTTGCTCATTTTCTTTTTTAATCCCCTTCCCCCTCCCTCTTCTTCTAATTCCCTTTTCCCATTTTCATTCTTTCTGATATTATTATTCTTAGCTCATGTTTATGGCATATAATGTTTACATATATTGAGGTTATTAGGTTCCTGTACAAGACATTTCTTTACCCCATCTTTTCCTCCTTCCCCCTCAACCTTGGTCTCTTGGACTCCGTACCATTTATAAGAGATCCATCACCTTGTTTCCTATCCATCCTCCTTTGTTCTCTTTGTACTTTGCCTTACTCAAATGAGAGATACCATATGGTATTTAAACCTGTGTGTCCTATTTATTTCACTCAACATTGTATATTCCAGGTGCATCCATTTTTGTTCAAATGTCTCAAGTTTGCCCTCCTTTATAGCCAACTAGTATTCCATTATATGTGGGTATGACATTTTCTTTATCCAGTCATCTGTTGATGGGTATACAAGGCTGCTTCCAGGATTTAATTATTACAAATTGTGCTGCTATAAACATTGGAATACATGTATCACTGTAGTATGATGTCTTAAGCTCTTTAGGGAAGATGCCTAGAAGGGAAACTGCTGGGTCATATGGAATTTCTAATTTTAGTTCTTTGAGAAATCTCCATGCTGATTTCCGTAATGGTTGTATTAGTTTACATTCCCATTAACAGTGTAGGAAGATTCCTTTTTCACGACTGCCTTGCCAGCATTTGTTATTCTTTGATTTCTTGACAATTGCCATTCTTTCTGGAATAAGATGGACTCTTAGCATTGTTTTAATTTGCATTTCTCTAATCACCAGAGATGTTGAACATTTTTATGTATTTGTTGGCCATTTGTACTTCTTCCTATGTGAAGTGTGTGTTCATTTCTCTTGCCCGTCTCTTGACTGGATCTTGTAGCTGTTCTGTTTTTCTTTTAGTTCTTTATACTGTATATTCTAGATATTCATTCTCTGTCTGAGGAGTAACTAGCAAAAAAATTTTTCCCATTCTGTAGGTTGACTATTCACTCTACTAATTGATTCCTTCGCTATTCAGAAGCTTCTCAATTTGATGTAATCCCGTTTGTTGATCACTGCTGTTATTTCTTGTGCAGTGGCAGTTCTGTTTAGAAAATCCTTTCATACAACTATGGCTTTAAGTTTATTACCTATTTTATCTTTCATTGTTTCTATTTAAATGTTTAGATCCTTGACCCATTTTGATTTTAATTTCATACACATTGAGAGACATGGGTCTAGTTTTAATCTTCTGCAAACAGTTTTCCCACTGCCACGTGTTGAATAGGCTTTCCTTCAACATATGCTTTTGGCCTCTTTATCAAAGATCAATTATCTGAATATTCCAAGGATGGTGAACCTTTTAGAGCTTTCAGTAATATAAACAGCCTGCTGTGGCAACACATGCTGTAGGTTTGCCACTACTGCTCTATTCTGTTCATTGACCAATGTATCTGTTTTTGTTCCAGTGTCATGCTGTCTTTTTTTTTTTTTTTTAATCACTACTGCTTTGTTAGTATAGCTTGAAGCCAACTATTACAATGCATCCTGCTTTGCTCTTGTTGCCCAAAATTGCTTTTGCTGTTCTGGGTCTCTGCTGGTTCTATATGAATTTTATGATTGTTTTCTCTAGATCTGTAAAGTATGCTATTGGTATTTTAATTGGGACTGCATTGAATCTGTATAACAGTTTTGAGAGTATGCCCATTTTGACAACATTGGCTCTGCCTGTCCAGGAGCAAGGGATATCTTTCCATTTTCTGATGTCCTTTTCAGTCTCCTTTTTCAGAGTACTGTAGTTTTCTTTGTAGAGGTCCTTCACGTCCTTGATTAGGTTAATTCCTACGTATTTCATTTTTCTTTAAGCTACTGTGAATAGTATTGTTTTCATAATTTCCTTCTCATCAAGTTCATCATTAGTGTATACAAATGCTAATGGTATTCCTGTTGATCCTTTATCCTGCTACATTGCTGCGGTTGGTTATTAACACTTAGTCTTTTGGTGGAGTTCTTTGGGTCTTCTATATATTAAGTCATCTGCACAAAATGGTAATTTGAGTTCTGTCCTGTCCTGTCCTGTCCTTTCCTGTCCTTTCCTTTCCTTTCTTTCTCTTGCCTGATTTCTCTGGCTAATGTTTCAAGTACTATGTTGAATAGAAGTGATGATAGTGGATGATCCTTGTTCTTGATTTTAGGGGGAATGCTTTTAGTTTTTCCCTATTTTATATGATGTTGGTTTCTTGTAAATAGCTTCTGTCAAATTCAGTTATGGTCCTTCTATACTTGCTTTCTTTAGGGTTTTTTTTATCATGAAGAGGTGTTGGGTTTGTCAAAAGCCTTTTCTTTTTTTTTTCTTAAATTCTTTTATTGGTACATTTTAGGTATACAACACATTTACATTTCTGATTGGGAACTTGTACCTTTACATGATGCATCTTGGTTCTTATTTTTTCCCCATTCCTAGCCTTCGCTTCACCCCCTCCACCCTTCCCTATTTACAAAGACTTTATTTCCATTTTTTCCATTTCTCA